TAAGTTTAACACAGCCAAGGAGATTTAGGATTATTTAGCTATATTGTTTGTTCAGTCTAATTTTGCAAAGAAATATCAGCTTAAGCATGAAATTCAAGCTGCACGTCAAGGTGATAAGACCATACAGGAGTTCCACTCGGTTATAACTGGATTTTGAGATCAACTAACAATTGTTAAACCTGCTAAACTGAGTACTCATATGGTCTATCGTACTCTTAGGGAGGAGCAACGGTTGGTACAGTTTTTGATGGCACTTAGAGATAACTTTGAGGGGCTTCGTGGTTCTATTCTACATCGTCTTCCACTTCCCACAGTTAATGCAGTAGTGAATGAGCTTCTGGCTGAAAAAGTTCGTCTTAAGACTCTTCTTCCATTACCTAATCAGACTGTACTGGCTGTACCAACCAGAGGGACTTTTTATTCACAGACTAAATATCGGGGTCGAACTGCTTCAGATGAGTGTAGTTTTTGTCATTAGAAGAGTCACTGGAAGGCTCAATGTCCTAAATTGGTGAACAAGAATGCCAAGAGGGCCTTACATCAACCATTTAAGCCCAAAGATCGTCATACAGTAGCAACTGCTTCACCAGTGGATGAGTCACTCTCATCAGCTCCCAGCATGACTATGATAGCTGATCAGTTGCAGAAACTTCTTTCTCTTCATCAACCAGGTGCCCTATCAGTTTCTCCCTCCACAGGTTCATTCATTATAGGTCATCAGGTATATCTCGAACTGCCTGGGTCTTTGACTCAGGAGCCACCCTTCATATGACTAATAATTCTTCCTTATTTGTTTCTATTGTTTCTCCTCCCTCTATATCTATCCTTGCAGCCAATGGCACCCAAATGTCTTTGGCTGGGGTTGAAACTATCGTGTCTTCTCAGCTTACACTTCCTGATGTCTACTATATTCCTCAACTTACTTTAAATTTAATCTCTATTAATCAGTTATTTGATTCGGGATTTTTAGTTCACTTTTCTTCTACTGGTTGTGTTGTGCAGAATCCACGGTCTAAAAAGCTGATTGGGACAGGCCATAGATGTGGAGGGCTATATGTGTTGGACAAGCTTCATGTCCCTGAAATTGTTACATCTACTGTTGAGTTATCTTTTTTCCAATTGAGTCCAAAATCGTCTAATTTTTATTTATGACATTCTCATTTAGGTCATGTTTATCATTCTCGTTTAAAATTTTTAACTTCTAATGGTAGTTTAGAGTGCCATGATATTTCAGATTGTAGTGGCCGCAAGTTAGCTAAATTTACTGCATTACCTTTCAATAAAAGTAATTCTCGTTCTCTTGCACATTTTGATCTTATACATTCTGATATTTGGGGACCAACTCCTATTGCTACTAAAGGGGGGTCTAGATATTATGTCTCTTTTATTGATGATCATACTAGATATTGCTAGGTGTATCTGATGACATGTAAATCTAAGTTCTTTTCCATTTTCACTACTTTTCGTGCTATGGTACGTTCTCAATATTCTTCTATTATCAAATACTTCTGGTGTGATCAAGGTTAAGAATATTCTTTTAGTTCTTTTCGTAATTTGTTGAAATTTGATGGTACTATTTATCAGTCTTCTTGTACCGACACACCTGCTCAAAATAGAGTGGCTAAACAAAAATATCGTCATATTATTGAGACAGCTCGTTCTCTGTTGTCGTCATCCAGTGTCCCTATCTCTTTTTAGGGAGAAGCAGTCCTTGCAGCAATTCATCTGATTAATTGCATTCCTACAATCCTTAATTTTGGCGTCTCACCTTTTGAAAAATTATGTGGTAAGACACCTTACTATTTCTCCTTACGTGTGTTTGGATGTACATGTTTTATTCTGCTACCTAGTGTTAATCGTACCAAACTCTCGGCTCACTCAACCTTATGTGTTTTCTTGGATACGGTGAGGGACAAAAGGGATTTCAGTGTTATGATCCTAGTACACAAAAACTCCATGTTTCTCGTCATGTTATTTTTATGGAGCATATTCTCTTTTTTTCTATTTCATCTAGTTCTTCATCTCTGCATAAATCTGATCTTATCTATCTTCATCCTTTTTCCCTCTAATGTTTCCCTTGACTCATATGTTGGTGATATGAATGTGGCTAATCTTCCCCCCTCCTCTTCTTTTTCTTCCTCTTTGCCTGATGTGTCTGTTACCCGCCCCCCGTTGTGCATACTTATGTTCGCAGGACTCTCACTGTCTCCTCCACAAATGTTGTGCCTCCATATGAACCTCTTGGCTCCCAATCAAATTCTGACACTGTGGATCACACTCCCCGCTACCCTCAGTGCACTCAGCAGTGTCCATCCAACTCTTGTTACTCTTTTAATTTTTGTTCTTTCCTGACTTCTATACATCTCTGTCTGAACCAACCTCCTATAAGGAGGCTATACTTGATCCTCTTTGGCAACAGGTTATAGATGAGGAGCTTTTTGCGTTACATAAGACTCGAGTTTGGGAGTTAGTGCCTTTATTTCCTGGTAAACGCCTCATTAGTTGTAAATGAGTTTATAAAATCAAAATCCACTCTGATAATTCTATGAAAATATACAAGGCTAGATTAGTGACCAAGGGATTTGCTCAAGAGTATGGGCTTGACTATGATGAGACATTTGCTCAAGTGGCTAAGATGACCACGATTCGCACAGTAATTGTTGTGGGAGCTGTTCGTTAGTGAAGCTTCTCTCAGATGGATGTGAAAAACGCTTTTCTTCATGATGATTTATCTGAACAGAGGTCTATATGACTCCTCCTCCTAGGGGTGCAACTCGGGCGGGTTGGACAGTCAACGCTATCCCAACCCTAGGTATATAATTTTCAACCCTAATCCTAACCCTACCTCGGGTTGAGAAACTCAACCCGAGCACTATCCAAGTTTAATTCAGGCGGACTCGGGTTGAATTCGGATTAATGATTTCGAGTTACTTTACGGGTTGAATTCGGGTAGAGCCCAAAATAGGCTTGTTCTAAATCTAATACATATATTATATAATATTCACATAAATTAACAACCAATAACTTCAACTAAGTTTTTAACATAAAAATCATTGCCACTAGTCCACTACAAGAGAGACAGAGAGAGGGGGGTTTATATGAAAAATCAATGCTAATGCTTTATATATATATATATAATTTTTTTTAAATTTATCGGGTTCGGGTTGAACCCATGAACCCGATGCCTTAACCCAAGCCCAACTCAAATTGAATTCGGGTTGAAATTTTTTGACTCAAGCCCAACCCAAGTATTAAAAACCCTTGCCCAAGCCCTAATTTTTTCGGATTGGGCTCGAGTTAAAATCGGGTTGCCCAACCCAAGTTGCACCCCTACCTCCTCCTGAGTTGCCTTGTAGTCCTGGTCACTTGTGCAAACTTCACAAGGCTTTATATGGTCTTAAACAAGCCCCGAGGACATGGATTGTAAAATTTTCTTCAGTCATATGTGACTTAGACTTCTGTGCTAGTGATTATGATTTTGCTCTCTTCCTTCGATCCATTCTTCTGGTTTCATTCTTCTATTACTTTATGTGGATGACATGATTATTACAAGTGATGACAATGCTAGAATACAACTGTTCAAAACTCAGTTACTGGATTATTTTAAGATGAAAGATTTGAGTCCACTTCGATATTTCTTAGGGATTGACGTTGCTTCTTCTCCTAATGGTTATCTTCTTTCTCAGTCAAAATATGTCTCAGATGTTATTCAGCGAACTTGCTTAACGGATACTCGAATTGTTGACACACCCTTGGAGCTCAACGTTCATTATACTTCCTCTAATAGTTCTTTTCTGCCTGATCCTACCCTATATCGTACTATTGTTGGGTGTTTGGTCTACCTTATTGTTACTCGTTCAAATATTGCTTATGCAGTGCATATGGTTAGTCAGTTTGTTGTTGCTCCTACTACACACTTCACTGGTCTGCCATTATTCGAATTCTTCGATATCTGCGCGGTACATTACATCCACGTTTATTATTGTCTGCCTCATCATCTCTGGAGTTTAGAGCTTACTCTGATGCAGACTGGGCTGGTGACCCTATGGATCGCAAGTCCACTTCTGATTTCTGTCTCTTTCTTAGTGATTCTCTTACTTAGTGATTCTCTTATTTTGTGGAAAAGTAAGAAACAAACTATTGTGGCTCGATCCTCTTCTGATGCTAAGTATCGTACTATGGCCTCCACAACAACAGAGATCATTTGGTTGCGTTGGCTACTTGCTGATCTTGACATTTCCTTGTCTGCTCCTACTTCTATGTATTGTGATAACACAAGTGCCATTCAGATTGCCCATAACTCGATATTCCATGACCGAACAACACATATTGAGATTGATTGTCACTTTATGCACTACCATCTTCAACTGTGCACGATATCTCTCCCCTTTGTTCCTTCTACTATGCAGTTGGCAGATTTCTTTACGAAATCTCACACTATCGCGCGCTTCCATTTCCTTCATGACAAACTTTTGATGTTTGATGCTACCACATCATGAGTTTGAGGGGGATGTTAGAGTATTTATATTATGGATAGTTTAGGCATTTTATATTATTTTGTTGCCCTAATATATAAGGGCCTACATTATGTATCCTTGTTAAGGTTGGATTATTAATTTTGATTAGTCTTAATAATATTAACATGATGGACTTATAATTATCAAGTTGCCTGAAAAATCAGTGTTGTCCAATGCACTAATAAGTTCTACCACGCTAGGCAGAAATTAATTCAAACCTAAGTGACCTTCATAATCATATATTTCATGAAAGAATCCCGTCCTATAACAACTTTGATAGCTTCAACTGTATAAGAAGATTTTGTTCAACCTACAATGTTCGCCATCTATTCATCTCATGTCCACAATATGCCAAGGGATTTTTAAAATTTTTTAAGATATAAAAACTACAAAGAATCGAGGGTAAATTTAGATATAAAAACTACAAAGAATCGAGGGCAGACCAATACTTCTTATTGAATAAATTTGCAAGACTTCAACGCACTATACAAGAAAACATGGAACTAAAATGGAAGAGAAGTAGAAGAAACCTTTCGCTGATAGAGCACCTCCAGTTACACACCCTGCAACAACTGTATTTGTGGTGTCATGTTTTGCCCGGGCCTTCATATATATGATAAAAAATTAGTTCCTATAGCAGTGACACAATATCTGTACACTACTATAACGCCAAACAGGTTACGGATTAACAACAAAAAAGTAAGGAAATATAAAGGACGACTCAAATTCAATAACAGCAACCACAATCAGCCTATGACTAGAATCTTTTGTTCCATTTCTTTTTATCATCAATACTATACAATCAGATGCATAAACAAGAAAATAAGAGTCAAAACTACTTATTCAATTTTCAGATGTACCTTCTCAACAACACATTCAGCAGCCGAGAAAATGAAGCCCATAACAGCAAACGTCTTGCAGGAACTCCAGCTCCTACTACCCATCTGCTTAGCGGTATATATAAATTGCTGCCTGCCAGTCATTTCCTCTTGCATTATAGGATTGTCCAATGCCCCTAGAAATAGACCCATGGCCAACCCAAGTCCCCCTCCTAACCCCACAACACAGCAACACACAAATCCACCAAAATTATTCACTCCTAGTGCTTGCACAAAACAATAAACCCAAGGATAAACATTAACGCCCATTTGGCGAATAACAAAATACCAGAAAAATTATAAAAACATTGTTAGCCATGAAAATCATAGATTTTTTTTGATCAAATCATGAAAATCATAGATTATTGCTATAAGATTAGGACCTACAAAAATAAAATAAATACTTCTACCACTAAGCAGATCCACTTACAGTCAAAGGTTTGTAATTTTCCCAAAACAACCGTCATGTGACAGATTTTTAGTTCATATGTCTAGAAAACGCTGTGGATTCATTTGAATTAAAGGAGACATGCTTCAAAACAGGTACCTTTTTCAGGAAAAAAATCAACAAAATGTCGGAAAAAAAACCCTAGAATCAATTTCGGGGATTCTATTTTATGTTTTTACTCACCCATGACTCCGCTAACGACGCTACGAACGGCGCAATTGTTCCAAATGTCTTGTCCTCGTACTTCCTCCACCGTAGGCAATCGAATGGGCTCGATCTGGGGCTTTTGTGCTTCGTCTGAGCTCGAAGAAGCTTTATCTTGTACATTTTCTGAATTGCCACTCATGGTGTTCCGATGACCGATGCTATCACTGTGTCTAATTACCACCCCAATACGCAAATGACAAACCCTAGAAGCGTCCAGTGATGCACTGGCATAAACTGTGTTGAAGAGAGCTCAAACAGAGGTGACTTATGGCTTCGCCGCCAACGGAGTGAGGGTGTTCTGCCAGTCGTTCGAAGCCTTGACAAGAATAATGAAATGAAAAATTACGTCTAGACCTTTAGATTTATTACTTAATTAGATAGATCCTCTCACGTTTGAGAAATTACACCGAGACCCATCCAAGTACATTCGGACCGAGCTGGGCTACATTCAGTAACGGTGGTCACTCGGGCGACGGAGCAACTGAGAAGTGCTTTTGTCGGTCGCTTACGGTAGTGTACCATAGAAATGCAGTAAAATTTTTATTCTTCCGATTAAATCGGGTAAGAATACGGAATACCCATCAATTTTCACATTCCTACCTTACCTTATCTGCAAAAAATATATTTAACTTTTTTATATTTTTTTTAATAATTATCAAAGTATTTGTGTGGTGTAATTTATATTATAAATGTTGTGGATGTTTAAGTTGTAAAAACATGAACTTGTTTTTTGTGTGGGTTATATGATTTGTCGTGAACAGGTGATCTATTTGAGCAGTTATGATTTTAATGTATTTCATATAGTTTAAACTTAAAATAATTGTTATTATATTTGTGTAATAATTATGATAAATTGATGCTCATACTTTTTTATGTTTTATTATAATTATTGTTATAGTTATTTTAGATTTTAGTGTTATTGATTTTATTGTGCATGTTATTTAATTGAATTGTTAAAATGATCTAAAAATTAATAGCTACAAAAGTGTTTACCCAACTTCCTAATCGATTAATTGTATTGGAATACCACATCTGATCGGATAGGGTAGGGCAAAAAAAAATTCTTTCATAAAATATCAGGTAAGAAAATGAAAGACTATGTTTCTTACCCGTAAGGTAGAGTGAACACCCACAAAAATAACGATGCCTACCAAAACTTGTGTGTTATGTGGTCCAAAGTACAAAATAGAAAATAATTTTTATTTTTTAAAGTTGAGATCGTTTAAATTTTATTTTAAAATTAATCCGACGGTTAATATTAATTCCTTAAATTTAATAGAAAAAATAAGTCTCTAAGTTACATTTGAGATAACTTTTTTAAAGTGTTTTTGAGACTTATATTTTTCCATAATCACTTTTAAAATACAAAAATAGTGTTTCTAATAATTTATTTTAATTACTTTTAAATAAGTCAAAAGTAGTTTAGATAAGTAAAAATAAAAATAACTTTTATTTTTTAAAAATTACTTATCTACAAAACACTTCACCTCCACCCATCACCCATCACCGACATCACCTACCACCAATTGCTATCACCATCTTCCATCGCCACCACCCATTACCATAATCCACCACACTTGTTGCCGCTCATCATCATCGTCACCCCACTATCATCCACCACCATCATTGTCATCGCCCACCAATACTATCGTCGTCACGGATGGTTGTCACTACCACCATTGTGACCTAAAATCCAATACTGCCATTACAGTTGTCACTCGCAGTTGTCATCACCGTCACAGTTGTTATCACCCATCACAACAATCATTGTCTACCACTGTCACCACCACTATTATCGCTCGCCCCACTACAATTGATGTTTTAATTCATTTATTTCTCTTTTATATCTGTGATTTAATTTTGAATATAAATACAAATACGTTTATGAATGACAATTTTTTTTATTACTCATACTTTCAAATACAATCAATAGTTAGTTCCTTGATATTTGTTCAAATGATGTGATGCCCCTCAAAATTTTAGTAATACCACTAAGGATCCTTGAATTTTATACATCACAACCCACGAACCTCTGGCCCTCGTGGCCATTAGTAACACTACTGAAAAGTTAGACAAAAGTTTGAATAGTTTTAGAAATACCCCTATGTAGTTACACGTCCAATCAAACTTCATGTGCTTTACTAACTTTCTCTAGTTGTTTTGCCCTAATTGAATTTAAAAAAAAATATTCTAAGCTTAAAAATCAGGCATTTTTTTTATTCTCATACGAGTTATGGCTGTTGGAGGGATGATTTAACCAATATCTTTAGTTTTCAACTAGCGCTTTTATTTTTTTCATCAAAAACTTATAATAATGGTTGTTGTTTTGATCTTGGTTAAACCCGAATTACAAGCTTAGAATCAATCTAAAAATTAAGTTCAAGTTGAGTAGCTCATGTTGAAAGTCAGGGCTGGATTAGGGTTGAGATTTTTATAACCTTAAGTTAAGCATGAGTTGACCTCCTAATTAACTCAACTCGAATTGTACTCATAATAAATACTAGGGAGGTGGTTTTAAGGCTTCAATATTATTTTTTATCAGTTGATTTAGGCATGGGTAAAGTTGTCATTTTGTTTATTACTTCACATAGTTAATCGTATTATTCATTATGTAATACCTTGATTTAATGTCGTTAGAAGAGAAATGCAAGTTGAGGGAGGTAATATAGGGAGATGATCTGCAATCGACCCAAAGTAGAGAGAGTTTTTTGTAATTAAACCATAAATAAAAGGATGCAAATGTTATTGCCCCTACCAAAAAGGCATTAAATACAATAATATAAAATAAAACATTCTCTTTTTTTGAATATATAAAAATAAAATAAAAACAACCCATGCGAGTGATTAACGCAGATCCTCCGACCAAATTCTCACTCCCCCAATCCCCGATCCCCACCGCCGCGCACACCATCACCTCAAGAACATAGCATGTAGAAGCCATAATAGCGCCTAACAATGTCGTCAAACCTCTCTCTGGTTCTCTCTTTCTTGCTAGCCATTTCGTCGTCCTCGTGTTCCTCTAGGGCTCAAGCCATGGGTGTGAACTGGGGCACCACAGCCTCGCACCCACTGCCACCGGCGAAGGTGGTGGAGCTCTTGAAGTCCAACAACATTACCAAAATCAAGCTCTTCGATGCCGACCCCTTCGTCCTCAACGCTCTCTCCGGTTCAAAAATTGACTTAACTATTGGCATTCCTAATTCCATGCTTCGCAGCTTGAACTCTTCCAAGAAGGCCGCCGAGAGTTGGGTGCATGATAACCTCACTCGGTATTCCTCCGATGGAGCCAATGGAGTTCGAATAGAGTATGCCCTTCACTTCCTTTTCTTTTTTTATCAATATAATTACCATTTGAATGTAGTTTGCCGGAATCTATGTGTGTATATATAGTGGGTTCACTTCAGTTTTCCGGCGTAGTTTACCCCCCTGAGTGGGATGTGATGAAACTAAAAAGGCAGTTATCTAACGTTTTTGTTTTGATGGGTCTAATTATCGGTTAACATTTGCTTTAATTTTCCAAGTAATGGCTAACAGGGTCGGATATGCTATTGAAAATTCATTTTGAATTTTCATTTGATTCGTAGAAATTTCAATTTAAAGCATTCTGCAGGTACATTGAATTGAATTTGACATGTGGTTTTTTGGTTTGGTTGGAGAATTGAACCATTTTTTTCTCGAAAACCATAATAATGCCAACAATGTTGGTGGTAGAGATTGAAAATAAAATAATGATAGGGAGTCCTTTGTGTATTTTAATGATAATTGATGGTAATCTTTTATGTGGCCCTAAAGCACAATAGAGAAACTAGATTCATGGAGCCAGCAGTTGCTCGAGTTGAGTTGAATAGATTGTAAACTTTCATCTGGCTGGTTGAATATTGCTTGTATCCCAGATAATAGTGATTCATTGTGTTGCTCTCTTCTAGCACTAATAGGTAGCACAACTAGGTTTGGCTGGTAATTAAAGCACAAAGTGAATAATTCCCCCCACCCTTTTTCCAAAAACAAGAACAATCATTAAATGAAGAAGAGCAAAAAAATGTTATTCTCACCGAGATTTTCTCTAGATGTGTGTATTGCCCTTCTAGAACTGTGTTTTGTATTCATTTCCGCAAGCCTTAAACTCAACTATTTTGTATTGGTTAAATAGATTGATGATCTGTGTCCTGGTAAATCAGCTGCATGGGCTGGAAAGATTCCCATAAAGATGCTTCCTTTGGCTTCACATGCCAGTGAGCGTAAAATGTTAACTTGAAAAATGCATATAATATTAGGAGTTTCTTTTTCTCCTTTTCCTATTTTTAGTTGGAGAGTAACATGGGAGAATACAAGCCATCAGTAATTTAACTGGGTGCTGGTGATTTGTAATCATTGTACATGTTAAATAACTGCTAAATCTGGGGATAATATTCTCCATTTTTATACCGCTTGTAGTTTGTGAAGTATTGTAATGACTCATTTTGAGAAGCGTTGTGATATTACCTTTCTGATATGGATAGTAATTGACTTTCGACACTTTGTTTGATAGAATTGCTAATAGAGAATGTTCGAGGTTTCTGAACCTTTACTTCTAAATTGAATGGGATGTGAGTTTGAGAAATTTATGTGAATGTCCTTCATCGTCTAATTTTGTTTATTTTTTATCTCTTGCTTCATGCTGCACAAATTTCTGTTATATCGAATACAACGATGGTTAGTTTCTGTCATCATCTATTTGTGATTTCAAGTATTTTTCCCCAAAGATTGTGACCTTGCTACTTCAGTGAACAAGGCAAATAGCCTCTTTAACATCTATCCAAAAATAAATAAGGAAATAAGGAAAACGTCAGTAGCCTCTATGATGGATGTTAAAAAACAAGCATTCTATTTTTTAGTGCAAGTGCGACACCCAGAGTCATCAACTTGGAATTATGGTGATGAGAATCGTGTAGGAATTGGATAGATATTTTAGATTAAACATAAGAGTAATTTAGTATTTATCTTTTAAATATTTTCTTTTAACTTTTAAGGGTTTAGTTGTTATTTTGATTATTTATTTATTTTAGGGTTTGTGATCTCCTTATATATATAGGATTTGTGAACTCCTTATATATATAGGGGATGCATATTTGTTGTGAAATTAGACTTTAATTATTGATTATTGATATTGCTTCTTCTTAAAATTCTCTCTTTATTCTCATCTCCTTCTTCTTCTTTTCTCATCCCTTTCTTCTTCCCTAATACGATCTACATCAATTTGATATCAAAGCCCAATTTCAATTCGTTTCAGATGGGAAAAAAAAAAAAGTTACTGTTCATCAACACTATTCATGAGCACTGTTCACGCGCTATTCGTGCGCACTGTTCATCATTGACTCAGGATGGATTTCATCGCTACCTCTTGTGTTTAACAAAAAAACACCTTAGAAGAATTACAAAAACACCCTAGAAAGGTTCAAAATTATAGAAACATCCTCAAAAGGTCCCAAAAAAATTGCAGAATCACCCATATGTTTCAACAAATTGCAAAAATACAATTAAGAAGCTCCAAAATTGCAGAAACATCCCCAACAGATTCAAAAAATTACAGAAACATCATCCCAAAAGTTTCAGAAATTGCAGAATCATCCCCAAAAAATTTTAAAATTTTTTCTTGATTATGGTATGCATACTCCCATAGAAATTTGAGACTAATAGTTTTATTCGTTGAAAAATTAGAGAATTTACAAAGGGTCCAAAACATATTTTCTTCTATGTAAGTTTTCTCACTTCTCGTAATTATCAATTGCATTCTTGAACTTGTTCTTATGCCATTCTCATCTTTCAAGAGTCACTCATGAGTTCCTCTAATGCACATGTTTCAAAAGTCTCTCATCGAGGTTATCATCATAGGAAGTCTAGGGATGTTTACATGGAGATAACCCATATGACCACACTAGTCAAAGATCCTTCTATATTTAGTGGCACTTTAGATCCCAATCAATTTTTGGATTGGTTAGCTAATTTAGAAGAATATTTTGATTGGCATGACATGTCGAATTTCAATTGCGTCCGTTTTGCTAAATTGATGTTGAAGGGTTCCGCCAAGAAGTATTAACAATCAATCCAAAGAAGTCTAGACCCCTTAGGGGAATCACCTATCACTTGAGTTGAAATGAGATATAAATTAAAAGAGAAGTATTTACCTACTTCCTACATGGATCAAGTTTATGATTAATGACTCAATCTTAGACAACATTCTTCTAGTGTCTCTGATTACTTTGCCCAGTTTGATAATCTCATTTACTTGTGTGACGTTATTGAAGAACCTTGGACAATTGATCAGTTTATTTTTGGGTTGAGACAAAAAATTAGTAGAGAGATCAAGCAATACACTTTTAATACGTTAGTTGCAGCCTATCAATATGCTCTAAAGGTTGAGAAATTTCATAAGAAATCCAAGTATAACTTGATGGGTTCTCAATTACAGCCTGCTAATAGAACATCTTCCAATTTTAATTCTATCACATATGAGTATCATGATTATTTGAATGATATCCATGTTGTTTCTGCATGTTTTCCTAATTCCAGGGTGACAATGGATTTGGATGACACATTCTCACATACAAAAAAATATGTTACTCATGTCGACTACCAATCCCCTTGTCCGGTTTCATCAGATCAAAGCTCACTTCTTTCATACCAACAAAAGTCAATACCTGAAGAAAATGAGTTTGAGCCTTTGTCAGAGTCAAATGTTGAGTCACCACTTGTAATGGAACTTGTTGAAAAGTCTGTCGAGTCCACACTTATGAAAGTTGTCAAGCACATTGAGTTACCTATTTCAGAATCTTTTGGTGATTGTTTTGTGTCTCCTATTTCAAATCAATCTAACTTTGTTCCTAATTCTTTCCTCTCTGAAATAGTTGATTTTATTCCTACTATTAAAATTTTACTTGAGTTGGTACTTAATTATTTTCAGCACCAAGGCGTCATTGTTACTCCTTTGTCATTGATATCTTGTCCCATTGAATAATTTTTGTTGAAACCTAATAAGAATTGGTTTTCTATTATCGAGTTTGGATATAATGCTTATTTGCTTAATTTTTCATTGAATGTTAGTATTAGTCCAAATTTTTATTTGGAGGATATGCTACTTAATCAAGGTACTCCAGAGCCTCCTATTTTGTTATCAGATGGAGATTCTTGCATTTATCCTGATCGATGGAAAGAAGTTGATGGTTCTTTTATTATAGATGAGACATTATGTCATCTTCATTTTGCTCTTTTAGGCTACTTCTGCTTTGAAGACTCTCTGGAGGAGAGTTTTTTTCAACCGGAGGAGAACGGTGGGGATCGTGTAGGAATTGGATAGATATTTTAGATTAAACATGAGAGTAATTTAATATTTATCTTTTAAGTATTTTCTTTTAACTTTTAAGGGTTTAATTGTCATTTTAATTATTTATTTATTTTAGGGTTTGTGATCTCCTTATATATATAGGATTTGTGAACTCCTTATATATATAGGGGATACATATTTGTTGTGAGATTAGACTTTGATTATTGATTATTGATATTGTTTCTTCTTAAAATTTTCTCTCTATTCTCATCCTTTTTTTCTTCTTTTCCCATCCCTTTCTTCTTCCCTTCTCATCCCTAATTCTTTCCTAATACGATCTACATCATATGGTCTTGAGATACAAGGTCAATTGTTTCTGTCATCCTTTGACTTGATTTTACAGAATTGATACAATTTTTTTTGTTGATAGATAAACTTGCGAGAATTGGAGGATATGGTGCTGTGCTGCTTATTTGTGAGAAGTCATTCGCAAATCAAGGACAGTTCGAAACTTTTTTCTTGGATTTTGTAGTCTTCGACTTGGATGTATTAGAGTTTGCTCCCGGTGAATGTGGAATCTTTGTTCTTTTTTCAGTGCAGAGCATAATATTCCTTGCCTATGTGATATGTTCTAAATTGAATTAAATATAGATTTCTGTTTCATATTTTTTGTAACTTATGCCAGTTAATGGCTACCTATTGTAAACTATAGGCATTTTAGCTAAACAATTCTCCTAAAATGGGTGTGTTTAGATACTCTTTCTATTGTAAATGATAGGCTCAGCTTATGTTTTAGGACATATTGTAGGTTCTTATCTTCTCAAGCCATTGCAATGACAAGTGATTCTATTTGTTTTTCTTTTCTTTTTCCTTATTTTTAGATTATTTGTGGCTGATAATATCTTAAGCTCCAGCAAGTTTCTTCATCCTGCCCGCATTGCTAACTAGACCATTTTCAGGTATATTGCTGTTGGAGATGAGCCATTCCTTCAAAGTTATGGTGAGCAATTCTATCCTTTTGTTGTTGGGGCGGCTGCCAATATCCAAACAGCTCTGATCCAAGCTAAGTTGGCAAATGAGGTTAAAGTTGTGGTTCCATGCAGTTCCGATGCCTTTCAGTCAGATTCTGGCCTGCCCTCAAAAGGACACTTTAGGCCTGATGTCAACAAAACCATGATTGAGCTCCTGAAGTTTCTCACAAGGCATCGCTCTCCTTTCTTTGTGACCATATCCCCTTTTCTAAGTTACCACCAAACCAAAAACATTTCCCTGGACTTTGCTCTCTTCAAAGAAAATGCACGCCCTCGTAACGACAGCCATAAAATCTATAAAAACAGCTTTGACTTAAGCTTTGATACCCTTGTTAATGCTTTATCTATTGCTGGGTTTCCTCAGATGGATATTGTCATTGCAAAGATTGGTTGGCCTACCGATGGAGCTGCCAACGCCACTTCATATATTGCTGAGACATTCATGAAAGGCCTGATGGACCACCTTCACAGCAAATCAGGGACTCCGCTGAGGCCTCGGGATCCTCCAATAGAAACTTACATATTTAGCCTTTTGGATGAAGACCAGAGAAGCATAACCTCTGGAAATTTTGAGAGGCACTGGGGGGTGTTTACTTTTGATGGCCAAGCAAAGTACAATGTTCATTTTGGTCAGGGCTCTGGAAAGCTGCTGAATGCGCAGAATGTTGAATACCTTTCATCCAAATGGTGTGTAGTAAATAACAACATAGATTTGTCCAATGCAACTGCTAGTGCTCTAGAGGCGTGTTCTGTTGCTGATTGCTCTGCACTGTCTCCTGGTGGTTCTTGTTATAACATTAGGTGGCCCGGGAATATATCGTATGCATTTAACAGCTATTATCAGCGGCAGGATCAAAAGGCAAACAGTTGTGGTTTTGGGGGGTTGGGCTTGATTACCACTGTTGATCCCTCAGTGGATAATTGCAGGTTTTCTGTGGAGCTAAAAGCTTCTCAATCAATTTCCAGTCTTGGGTACTGTATTGTCCATTGGATGATCCCACTAATGGCAACCATTTTGTTATGTTTCCTCGGTGTAAGTTTTTAGAAAAACCTTTTTTCAGGGAATAGATTATTTTGAGGAATTTTTTTTTTCCCTGATTGCTGTATTTGTTGGTGCTGATTGTATGATGACATGTTCCACCAATTTTTATATTCGGTGGTTCATTTTCTAATCTTTGTGATTGTTTTCAGTTGTTGGGTTTGTTCATAGCAATGTATAGAGTGAAAGTTTAGCATCACTGTTTTTTTTTTGTTTTTTTCCGAAGAAAGCAAAAGGGTTTGAGAGGACTACGGTGGAACCTTGCCTGAGCGGGATTATGGCAGCCCGAACTCACAAGGGAGCCCACCAATGGGGCCTAGACAACAAGAAATCGCAGGCGCTTTTAAAGGCTAACTCGAGTCAGAGCCTAATCCCTTCTTCAGAGTTGCTACTGAGCATAAATTTTGTTTGAATAACAACATTCATCAAATGGGACTACCAGACTACAGTTAATGTAATCCTATTTCATTGGTTTGAAAACAAAAGAAAAAAAATGAGAGAATCAACGTCATTTTTATTACCACTGATAATTTATTATATATGGTGAATCATGTGAGCTCAATTATATAAAAAGGACAAGTTAGAGGTAGATCTTGAACATAACAAGATTTGCATATTCTTTGTCAATCTCCCTTTTTCCTATCTTGACTACACTTCTAGTATATAGATTATTGAAGTGAGCACAATCATACCAAATCTAAAGCACATTAACTCAAATAAGATCGTATTTTTAATAGATTCGATTTGAGATTTTGAGATAATAACAATTAAAACATTTCATCAGAATTATCAACGAATTCCTCAAGACTTAAATTCGTTGTTTACACTAGACTCTTTTCGCATTTGGTTTGTTAGGCTTCTTAGAAATTATAACACTCGTATATATAGGAGAATGTTCATAAGAGTAAAACACAAAGGTGATTTAGTGATAAACCAAATTGTCAGGGCCTCCTAGGTAAATAGTGTTTGGGTGAGGGGCTGGTAATAAATTTATACTTTTTTATATAAGCTCTTTTATAATTTATTTTTGAAAAATATTATTTGAACCTAAAATTTTGATATGATTTGTTTATCTAATGACGTGACTTCACTAGAATTATTGGATAAACACAAAATTTTAATATTTAATAAAATTCACGATCAATTCAAAATTTATAATGAATTAGGTCGTACATACACTTCAATAACATTTTTTTCTCCGAACAGACGGCAAAGCTCATCTTATTAATCTATGTGCGTGAGCTGGCCAGATGCCCTTACCATTTAACGAAAAATATATTAGGTCGGTTGCTTATGAGTATCAGAGATAAAACGATGCCCTAGTCACTTCAGTCCCCCCCCTCTCCCCCCCTCTCTCTCTCTCCCCTCGACGAGGAAACGATAGTAGGAACCCTAGAACATGTCTGGTACGTATGGTTACGAAGGAGGCAAATCCGCTCTACCGCCTATGGGAGGAGGCTACGGAGGCAGCGGGGACGGTGGTTATGGTGGTATTGGCGGAGGTTATGGAGCTAGTGGCGGAGGCGGTGGTGGTGGTGGATATGGTGGCGGAGGCTATGGCGGCAGAGGAGGAGGTGGAGGATATGGTGGTAATTCACTGAATCGAGGTGGTCAGTTTTATTGCTCCGTTTCCCTCCCCCTCTTATTTGAATTGCTAATTATTCGAATGAATAATTGATTTGGGTTTTTTTTTTTTTTTTAACGTATATGCATATATGTTTTTGTTTGTATCTGTAATCTCTCGTCCCTATTCGTCTTTGATTAATAGGAGGTGGTGGATATCAAGGAGGAGATCGAGGTGGTCGCGGTGGAAGAGGAGGCGGTCGCGGTTATGGAAGCGGCAGAGAAGGCGATTGGCGCTGCGCTAACCCAGGGTAATGCCTTTTCATCTGCATGTAGGCTACTTTTTTGGGATTTCTTGTGTGTCTTCGGTTTATTACTCATATTTACTTTGCTTTGGTTTATCAGTTTACAAATATCCCGAAAGTTATGTTGTGTCAGGGGAGATTGCTCCCAGAAACTTTCCAGCAGACAAATATTCTTTGGGGCTTTTATTCTTTCTGAGGATATTTCATTTTATTATGGATATCACAAATTTTTTAATATAGAATCAATCAGCTTGATGGATGCTATGTCTTTCGAGCTCATTAATATTTTCTTTGGGGAAATATTTAACTCCCTTTGTTTTATTGCTGAAACCAATAGACCTCAATGAAAAGGGGGCCGGAGTTGTTTTTTTTGTTTGGGGGGGGGGGGGGGGGGCTTTAACAGTTGATTGTTATTGAAACTGCTGTATATGGTGTAGCTGTGGTAATTTGAATTTCGCAAGAAGAGGTGAGTGTAACAAATGTGGTGACCCCGCCCCTTCTGGTGCTGGTGATCGTGGCAGCAGGTATGGTGGCAGTTACAACAGAGGTGGAAGTGATGGACAGTATGGCAGTAGTCAAGAGGGTAGAGGTGGTAATTATGGCAGTGGAAGTGGATCTTATGGTGGCAATCAAGTAAGAGATAAAGGGGGTTATGGTCAGGGTCCCCTTGTCACTCCCCCAACTTATGGGAGGCCTGGTGGCACCTACCCACCTCCTGTGAACGCCTATGGTAGCAATGCTAATTATGAAACCGATGCAGTTCCTCCACCTGGAAGCTATACTGGTGGACCTACTTCATATATTCCATCATACGGTGCCCCTGTTGGTTATGGTGGTGATGTTCTGCCTGATGCCCGTGGTGGTGGTAGGAGTGGTCCACCAGGTGGGTATGACGTTGGGCGTGGTGGTGGCCCGCGTAACTTGGTAGGTGGTTATGGTACTGTTCCTGCTGAGGCTCCAGTTAAGGTGACACAATGTGATGAGAATTGTGGGGATTTATGTGACAATTCAAGAATTTACATCTCAAATTTGCCTCCAGATGCGACTGCTGAAGAATTGAGGGAACTCTTTGGAGGCATTGGACAAGTAATTTGCAATTTTTTACTTTTGGCAACTTGCATGCTATTTGCTGTAGATTTGTTGCCAAGTCTTTTTTGGAGTTTATTTTTTGGCCATCAGTTAAGTGGTAAAAAATATTCATCTTTCTATCTGCATGTTGGTGCATTCTGTCCTGTTCTAGAATAAGTGCCTGTAAACCTTGATTCCCATTTCGAGTTCTTAATGATGTTCACAAGTGACACTAATGCAACCCTTATCTGTTTAATTAGGTTGCAAGAATCAGGCAGAAGCGAGGCTATAAGGACCAATGGCCTTACAATATAAAAATATACACGGATGAGCAGGGACACAATAAAGGAGATGCAGTTTTGACATATGAGGATCCATCTGCAGCACATTCTGCTGGCAGTTTTTATAACAGTATGTTCTGTTTAAAGGTTTTATTTTTGGGTTTTACACTATCAACTTTCGAGGGGCCGTTGCTGGCCATAGTATAAGTGTTGGGCTAACATCCCTGAGTTTGTGGGGTCAAATATAATACCCAAGGTTGTTCGGTATATGCAGGACCCTCGATTAATGACGGCAAAATGGGGAATGACCCATTTTATAGTCTTAGACTATTTCTGCTTTTGATAGATACTTATTATGCATACTGTTTTGCCAGATTATGACATTAGAGGTTTTAAAATTAGTGTTGCAATGGCTGAGAAGACTGCCTTAAAGGCACCTCCTGCATACAGCTCTAGGTACTTCCTCTTATCTCGATTATTCATGTTAGTTTTATTATGTAGAAAGTTCAGCGATTGTCATGGTGTCTTACTCCCAGTGTTGGTTTTTTAAAATTTCTATATGCTTGTTTTTCCAATTGCAAGTTTGTCAAATTGGACATTGTTCAAGTTCTTCTATATACACAAGCAGTGAAGCAGGTAGTTTGAAGTCCATGTACATGGGGGCTTGTGATGGATCATTCTTGGTTACAAATACGCGTATAGATTTATATTTGCATCTTCTTAAACTTGGAAAAATATGAGTGATAGAAGGTTGCCTGCAAGCTGGTCTCTTAAACTTTTTATTGTTTTACCATCTACCTATTATATTTGACTCTACTCTATGCTCTCTCTTCCACTGTGTGTGTGTGTGTGTGATGCCTCCCCTTCTTGGATAGGCATCAATTGTTCCTTTTAGTGATTATCCTATTTATGGTCTTGAATATATTGCTCTGTATCTGTGTGGATGTGCTCATCTATTTTTTCGGGATGTTGATGGTCACGTTTTGACTTTTCATTAATTGCATTTTTATCTTATTGTCAGTAGCTTGTTTGTTCATTATGTATGAAGAAAATTAAATGGTAACCAGCATGCTGCGTCACCAATTAAGAACGCATACACGCAGTCCAAAGAAACTAATCTTGCATGTTGTCTAATTTTTTTTTCTTTTCCATTTTTTGTTTTTCCAATTTTTTGTGTGTTCCAAGTTGTAATATAATTTCTTAAATTGTCAGGAAAAACCATAAATACTAAGTATACTAGGTAAATTCACTATAGGAAGCAAGTTTGGTTCTTCATTTTTGTAGATTTTTTATGGTGACGTTGTGGTTCCTAGGGAGCTTTTGTTTTAAAATGTTAGTTAATGTGCACACTCCCTTCTCCTCCCATTTTATGTCTGCATGTTTACCCTGTTATAATGAGTGTCATTGATAATTGCTAAGCCAGTGGCAAGCTGTTCCCTTCTTGCAACTTATGTAGTGCTCTCCTTTCGATGGAATGATATTTCACTTTTTTACCTCTTTTACTCTGTTTGCTGGCTATTGTAGGCATAATTTAGGTATTGCATTATGGTCTATCTAGCTCAAGCGTGCCCTTCAATTTTATAGTTCGTAATACCATTTTAATTATTTGATAACTTGGTGATGCTTGTGTACTGAATATGCTTCATTAATCTGTTCTTTTAGTCCACTTCATGATTTTGTTGAAATTCTTGTATTTTTTTCTGACAGCTTTTGAGGGGTATCTTTTTCTATCTTTGTGTTATTTGGGGCTGTTGCAGAAGTTCTGGAATTTTTGGGAGCTTATAATTGATCACTAGTTTTTTCTACAGGGGTGGTGGTAGATGTGGCTATGGTGGTGGTGGACGCAGAGATAATTACAGAGATGGTGGAGGTTCTGGTCCAGATAGGCATTATCACAGTGGAAACCGGTCACGCCCATATTGAAGTGTAGATGACCTATTTATGTATTAAAAATTGTGGTGGTAGGGATTTTATTATGGTCCATTCACGGGTTTATTCTCTAGCTGGAGACTTAACGAGGTAGGTTGTTCACCAACTCTGAGCAATACTCCTGTTCTCCTGTTTTCTTTCTTTGGCTACCTGGTGGAGGTTTTACTTTTGAGGTAGAGATTGATTTTGAACTGTGTGAATGCTTTTCTAGAGGCCAGTGGATATTACTCTCCGGATTGCTGCTAAGGTAGGTTGAAATTTTCAGGTGAGTTCTTTTTCAATTGCATATTCATGGTAAATTTGACCTGAGTGACACGAATTGTGGATATGCTTGCATATCTGCCGCCTGACTGCATCTTCACATGGGATTGATACGAAAGAATATTTGCTATGTATGCCTTCACTTTCTTCTCTATAGGTCACTAGCTCATGTTTCTTAAAATAGTTATTTGTAGCTTTGATCGGATATCAGAGGGTAAATCACTATTCTGACACATTCCCTTCACCTTTAGGTGCAGGTCATCGTCTGATGCGGCTTACATTTATCTGTTGGTTCGACCCCTTTTCTAACTTCAGAACCTAGGTATTTCTAGTTGTTTAGGTGGAGAAAGAAGCGAAGCAGATGACAGGTTTAATAATTTCTTAGATTTGAGGGGAGAAAATATCGAGAAAATTGGAGCAAAATGAGGTGGATTTTTTTTGGCAGTTTTTAGTTTGTGCTTGATAGGTCCTCCACACTTCGAATTGCTGCTGCTCGTAATTACTACTCCCTCGTGCTGAGGGACTTTTTTGAAGCATCACTTCCTCATTTCTCGTTCCTAGGGCTTAACTAAAACGTGCAGAGGGATTGATGTAACTTTTCCCTTCTTGTTCCTTTCTCTCACAATAAAGTAAATGCCACGATGATCATGTGCATCTAGAAAACTAAATGGAGCTCAAGGAACCAGCCTGTAGTGCTCTTCAAGCTCTGCTCTAAGAACTTTCAGCGTTGTGAGGGCACTGGTGGTCTTGTTGGAAGTTGTGTATGGGATATATGATGTTTAATTTTTTGGCTGTTTCCTGCTGTGCCCAGGAGCCTGAATTGTTCAAGAGGCTGCAAATTGCGATGTTGTGCCTTTTCAGTGTAGGCTAGCGGCTGAGCACAATTCAATTATTTATCGTGTTGTCAACTTTCTTTTATCATTTGCAAAGTGAAGGGAATTTATAGAAATGACAGAAGAAAAACTGATTTTTAAGATGAGTGGTGCTCACTAAAATGAGAAATCAGATTACTTATATAGGTCAGGTGTTGAATGCTAATTTTAATGAGCCAAAATTTTTGAAAGTTAATTATACTTTATTCCTTTGAACTATTACCTTTGTTTCACTTTGCATACTCAACTATTAAATTTTTCATATTGTACTCTACAGTATCAATTTTGTTTTATATCATTCTAATAAATAATTGTTAATTTTTTTGACAGTAAATGAGCATGAGTGGTTTGTACTGTTGATAAGAATTGTCTATTGCACATTTGTAGATCAAAAATTAAGAAAAATACATATCTATAATTTTGACTTTTCTAAGTTACAAATTTTGTGAGATCTTTTTTTTTTGCAACTGTTTGGTTGTAAAAAAGGTAAAATAAAATAGTACTAGGTATTTGATGGGATGTTTTTTGAGGTTTTTCTCTCTCTCGACAGATTTTCAAGTTTGTTGTAATCTATTGGAGTAATAAAATAAAATTAATATTTAAAAATGTAATGTGAAAAATTTTATAATTTAGGGTGTAAAGTGAAATAATGATAATAGTTTAAAGGGGTAAAGTATAATTTACTCATTTTGAATTATGCAAATGAAGATAAGTTTCTTGATCCTTATTTTTTAAAAATTTATGAAAGACTATATATAATTACTAGTTATTGTTCGTGCCTAAAAATATAGAATAATAATAAAAATATATATATATATTTATATTCATATTTAAAATTAAATTATAAACATAGAGATGAGAGAAAAAAATTTAAGTATCAATTATAATTGGGGTTAGTGGTGGGTTTTGGGTGACGATAGTGGTACTAGCAGTTATGAGTGATAGTGGTTGTGGTTGTGGGCGACAATGATAGTGGTGGTGGTAGGGCGACGACGGTGGTGATGACCAGTGATGATAGTGGTGGTAGGCGATAACGAGTGCTTCTGGGCGATAGTGTGATGAGTAGTGACGAATGGTAACGGTGGTTGTTTTGTTGGGATGAGTGGCAATGAATGACAATAGCGGTGGACGATGACGAGTGGTGATGATGGTAGGGATGAGTAATAGTGGTTGACGGTGATGGTGGGCGACAACGGATGGTGGTGGGTGCTGATGGTGGGCGATAGTAGTAGTGAGATGATGGTGGTAATAATAATAAATATAAGAATGAGATGACGATAGTGGTGGGTGATAACAATGGACGATAGTGGTGGGTGATAACGATGGACGACAGTGGTAGGAATCGGTGGTGGGGCAATGACGATGCTGGTGATAGTGGAGTAATGGCGGCGACGGCAATGGTAGTTGTACTGGTGATGGTTGTGAGGTAGTAAAGCAGTAGTGGTTGTTGTGATAGAGATGTGGTGTAGTGGTGGTGGTGGTAGTGTGACAATAATAGTGATGGTATGGTGATGGTGGAGGTGGGGTGACAATAGTGATGATAGTGACAACAATAATGGTAGTGATGGTAATAATTGTTGTGACAGAGATGGTGATGGAGTAACAACGATGGTCATGGTGGTGGTTGGGGTCGTTGTGGTGGTGGTGATAGTGGTAAGGCAGTGGGGGTGGTTGTTGTAGTGGTGATAGTGGAGCAATTTCAAACATTACTTTTAAAAAAAATATATATATATGAAAAGTTATGAATTTTAAAAACACTTTAAAACAATTACTCAAATACATCATTAGGATTTATTTTCTCTATTAAATTAGGAATACTAATATTAATCGTCGAATTAATTTTAAAATAAAATTTAATAAAAATCTCAACCACTAAAAACAAAATAATTTGTTTATCTTTTAAAATTTGAATTGATCCATGGAAGTCTAAAGTGAATGATTTTAAGGAACGCAAGTGATACCTGAAGGACTCATATGATTCTGGCAAAGGAATCAAACTGAACCATATGGTAAATTCACTTGGACAAATTCAGTCGGTAAAAGATGTGAAAACCTGGTCACGTCAAACGACTTCCATAGACATTGTAGTTGTAACTGCAGATAAACAAAAACATGTCCAAGCGAAAAAGGGAATTCACCCTTATCATTCTATATAACCTTCTATATGGCAATGAGAAGACAAGTCTCTAGCATCAAAACTATATTAAAAAGCAGTCGCAGGAAACTATGCCATGTAGAGCTCAGCTCATATTAAGCCGACTGACTGACCAGAGGGCTGGTGATGCAGAAATCTGCTATTAGAATAAAATCTCGTCCTTTTCCTTCTTTGGAATCATTCATTCTACTTTACCTCAAAGGTGTTTGTGATACCCTCCTGCTGTAATTGAAACAATTGTACTTGATGTTATTTATCCCCCAAGAGAGCTTATCTATGTACAGGGGGTTGTTGCATATCATAAGGTACTACTCCAGGACCATATTGGAGACTGGTATCAGCAACACCCGGAGCCTGAAGCATACGAAAGAAAAACAGGAATAAGTATTTTACTATAGATCATTATTAGTACAATTGCAAATTCCATGACTCAGTTGTGGGTGCTAATTTCATTTATACAAAGTCTATCCATAGAGAAAAAGTACATAGAGATTACGACAATGCTTTTAGAAACATTTTAATTATCAAAGAAAAAAGGAAAAACAAAAGAGAAAAAATAAGAGAGAGAGAAATCATAAACGAAAAAATGATTCTAAAAAAGTTTCCGTAAAGACAAGATTTTTCACACAGCCTGTTTAGTAAGTAGAATACAGCAATGAATGGCATGGATTTCCCTCGGCAGAAAAGAGAAAAGGTAAAATGACAGTTTCACTTCAAAACTAGTAAATATTATGGCCCGAGAGAATAACTGATTGAGGAATTTGATCAAAGTTGATAGTACTAATGCCTTGTAAGGACGGGAATGCTGATAAGCACACCAAGGCAATTAAAAATGATATCGAGATCTAATCAAAGGAGGTGGCCCTTACGGAGGTAAATGTCAAAGATTGAAAAAAGCCAATGGACCTCAGGGTATTGGTTCAGGGTTACAGAGATGGATTTGTATGAGATATGTGAATGATAAGAACTGAAAGGTGAAGAACACCATTATGAGCAAGACACTAACACCATCCAAAAGCATGGAACATGTGGATTGTTTCATGGCTTGACAAGGGCACATTTGGGTGCCATCAATGTTTGTACTCTTATTCGAGAGTTTTATTATGATTGTAGTGGGTAATACTGTCATCCGTGGACTTAAACAGCTTGCCTTCCCATACTGTTCCCCCTAATCTCAAAACCCCCCACCCCCACCAAAGGGGAAAAAAGGATGAGAAATAAGAGAGAACAAAGATTAGAAGTTAGAGCTAGACATAAATTGATAAAAGAGTTTGCAAGCAGAGCAGGAAACAATATACATAACTCCAACCAGACAAACTGGAAAAATATCTCGATGATATCATTATTTTTTAAAAAAGGAATCAATTCTTCAGAGTAAATATCAATTGGAAACTAAAGGATGGGTGTATATAAGTTGGAATACTCTTAACACCAAAGACAACAAATAAAAGGGCCTCAATTGGGATTTATTGAAAATATATCAGCCACTATATACCTGATGCATGGCATAAGGATCAGGATACGAGCTTCCCCCATATACCATCTCAGTGTTTCCATAGTCAGCTGCGTAACCAGGAGCTGAAGAGTAACAATATCCCCAATTTGTTAGTTGGAGCTCATCCTAAAAATTGCAAACGACAACAAGAAATTGAGGACATAACATACTTGGAGTTGCGGCGGCAGAAGCTGCAGCAGCTGCCCTTGCTCTCTTCTCTGCATTTGCAAGCTCAGCCCGCAGTTTTTCAATTTCATGAGCCATAGAAATCATATTTTTCTCCATTGCTTGATGTTGTTCAAGGTTATTTGCATGCATTTTCTTCTCGTACTCAACAGCAGCCCTATTCATATCCATTATCAAAAGAAAATGATTCAAAACCTTATTGGGAAAAAGCAAAATAGTGCAAATCACTAGAGTACACTGGTCAAGCCAGTGAGAGTCTTAAATTTTTTTTCCTTTCCTCTACATAGGCACACACACACACACACTCTTATATATTTCAAAATTTTCTAAAGTATTTTAAATAGTGGGCAATTTTATTAAGTATGTTAAATAGTGCCCACATATTAAAGACTCTTAATAACTTTTGGGCCTTTTTTTGAGACAACTAGATATTTTTTGGACATATTATTAGGGCAATTTTGTTATTTTTAAAAAATTATGAGATTATTTTGTTATTGTATAAATAACAGGGTTATTATGCACTTAAATCCATCACTACATAACAAATGCTGACACTCTAGTGAGATGCAACTTGCCTGTATTTGAGGTCAAAATAGTCTTCAACAACACTACGACAAAATGTAACTCCCGACAATTTTTGTTGGTTTGACAGTTTTATTATCGGTGTGGCTTTAGCATTGAGTCTTCAAACCTAATCGAGATTGGTGATCTTGCTCCAAAAATAGTTAAGACTGGAAAGATATGATAAATCTATTAGATTAACATGATGTAACTTTGGCATTGATTTTATCAGTTGTGATTGCTATTGTAAAGAACATTCTTAGCTATGAAGATTATAAAGGATCAATTGTGTAACCCAAGGCGATAAATGAATAATTGATCGCATAATTATATATATGAGGAAATACATTTTCGATAACATTGATAGTGAAATCATCATGCACCGATTTTAAAGTATGAAAACTCATCAGCCTCAATAAATGGCTGGAATTAACCAAATTTATTGTAAAGAGTTATATATAGTCATTTTTTTTGCTGGTTTTTTGACGATTTTTGGACCTTTTGTATTTAATGAAAGCTTTAAGAATCAAATATGATATATATATTTTTTTTAACAAGTTATCAAATATGATACTAATGAATATAAGAGACAAAAAATAAGCTGTTTAAAGTGCCCAATCAAAGATGATTTTCTAGCTCCGCCCCTGCTAGAGCGTACTTGGTAAATAAGGATATTTAGGTTCGGAATCAAAGCAACATAAGACAAGATAGTCAGCTATATATATATGAATTCAACTAATATTGAAGAGTGCATATGCTGCCCACTACCAAACCCGCCACAGATTAATTCCTCCACAAAAATGAATATTTCAAGCTTAGGGAAAAAAATAACCCTGCTAAGTATCCGTATGATATAAGCTTAGAAACACTTGACGAAGCTTAATTGATTTTATGTATTCGTTTTAGTTCACTGTTGGTTTATTTAGTGTTTTAGTAGTTATTTTGTTATGTGGCTTTGGTTCTTATATTAGAATGGGGTTGTCCCGCCTTCAGGACTCATTCACACAATCACATGCCAGGCATATGGCAATTTAAGTGACAAGGCCCTTATGGCTAGGATGGTGACCTTGGGCTTTGGGTGAAACACTGAAACTACAATTTGGGATCCTAGGGATCTTTTGTATCTCTAGTTTCTAAAACTTGGTGACAGATTGGACTACGAAAAACAATCCAGTGGTGAGAGTTGCCCCTCTTTCTATCTCCCTCTGCACCTTATTCTTTCTTTGTCTCTCCCTTTTTCTTCCAGTCATACTTCTTTTCTTCTCTGTGCCTTCTTGAGTTTCATTTGGCTCTGCTTATTATTATGGCTCTCTTGAATATGCTTAATCTATTGTCTGCATGTGCTTCAGTGTTATCCTTGGGCAGCAAAAATGGTGCAGCTTTATGTTAGTTGAACAGAGGAAAACTTGTAGAATAGAGTTTCTACCCAAACATGTAGCCTATCACACCCAAGCATCAAACAAGAGTATTCAGTCAAGCCTAGTAAACAATTTTGAGATAAGACTTAGGACACCCAAAAATATAAATCATCACTTAAAAAGCTCACTAAATCAATATCTAGCAAAATTTCAAAGACAGTTAGGTTAGGTCTCCACATTATATGCTGCAAGTTCAACGCAGAGATTCACGGAACAAGGAACAAGAGGGAAAGGAGAATACACAAGACATCTCAGCTGGAAATACGAAAAAGGCAAAATTTCAAACTGTAAGATTCACTTGTGAAGGAAATTAAGGGGTTAGGTCTCAACTCTCAACGTTATATGCTGCAAGTGCAAGGCAGAGATTCATGGAATAAGGAACAAGAGGAAAAGGGAATCCATAAGAGATCTCAGCTAGAAATAGGAAAAAGCCTTCAAATGTAGATAATTTGCAGCCAGCAGGCAAAGTGCTTACCAAAATAGGAAGGAAGAAGAAGAATTCTTCAAGCCAAAATCTGCTTTAAAAAGTAGATATTTGGAAAAGAACTCCAATATCCTCGCTAGCCTTTTTTTTTTTTTTGGTGGGTTTTTTTTTTTTTTTTTTTTTGGGGGGGGGGGGGGGGGTGGAATTATCCTAGCTAGCCTTGATTTCCCCCAAAGCTCAAGGTTCAAACTCTACACAATTTATAGCCATCACTTGAATTAATGTCAAACGAATGTGGAAAACCTTCAAATCATAAGTCATAAGAACCAAAGCCACATCAAATTAGGAATGATGAGAATTCAATTAGTTACTATAAACAACTTCCAAAAGTTATCCAGTTTCCCAATATCCCCCTGGCTGCGCCAACACCCACATTAGGCGACGATCTCTACCATGATTGAGATGTTCATTCGGGCTTTTTTTGCCTTTCCTTCCAAATGCACCAAAAACTAGCATGAGGTACTTCATGCAGGTCTCTTGAACTTCTCAATTTAACCCCCACACTACCTTTGGGAGGACCCAAAACAAAATCATTGCCTGTCATTGAAAGACACTATATCACAAAGAAAGTAAAAACTCAAATGCTCAAAGTGCAGAAGCCTCCTTCCAGAAAAGGGAAATCCACCAATCTGCCACTGCTTCCACATAAGGAAGTTATGGAATTCATACATTCATGGTAACTAGGTTATGAAACTTCTATTTAGAAGAAACTCTACTTCCTCATCGATGATCAACATCTCACAGAGATATTTGATGGAGAAGGACCATTAGCAGCACTAGCCCTCGAAATAAGTGACATAAGCAAATTATACTCCCTAAAAGAGCTTCGCCGATGATAAATGCCAATACTCGTATTTACTGACTTTTTCACTCCAAATCGGTTAAGGATTCAATATCTTTGTTGGCAAGTAATAGAAAAAACTGATGAGGATATTTTTCCCTGGAATATCGTCTCCCATTGACATATCCTTCCAAGGCTCAATTGTCCAATTACCACAAGTTCTAAATAAAAAGATCTTCCCTTTCAAAATGCATTTCAGAAACCCATCCCATTGTCCCTATGAACTTCCCTTGTTATAAATTCACCCTAATCCCACTAGTACTTCTAAATCGACATTTCCTTCCACTAAAAATTTCATTTCTTTGCAACCTTCCTTAACTTTTAACTCAAGAGGGCTACATGCTTGAAAAGTATTTTCTTTCATATATCATGCGTGCAATCAAAGTGTGAATCTATATTTATATATTCAATTATGTGATATAAGTTGTAATCAATATGTGACACATACTACAGCACATGCAATATGTAAAATGTGCTGAATCATATTGTTCATTGTGATGGTTCTGGTATTAATAGTACAAAACGTGCATGCATCAAATCAGTCATTGATCTAGAGTCGCTTTTTTTTTTTGTCAATTTATGCAGCTACTGTTGGTCCAGTTATTTATTTACCAAGTCCTTTCAAGTTGCACCCTTGTACTCCTCCTAGTTTTCTACTCATTCCACAAAGAGTCTCTATATTTGTTATTATTGGACACAGGAACGCTGAAGGAGTTGGACAAAACTGCACCAGCCAATCAAATGTGACTCATTCAAGCTACAAAGTAATGTATAATTTGATTCAAGTATCAATCACATATATGCATACGGCTAGATTTGATGTAACTACTAAACTAATAATGCTATGTATAATCTCCATAAATATATTGCAATAAGCTTACACTAGGACATATTTGATTACAAATTGTTAAGAAGTATATAGAACTAATTCAGATATAAGTACACCCGGACATATAAGAAGACAAAGAAAGAGAGCAATGTATGATATGTCACCTTCCTCTCTGAATTTCCCGGTGCATGGTTTCTATCTCTTCTTTAATCGCCGGAAATAGCCGTAACTCTGACCTAGAACTAACAATCTCTTCATCGATCGTCTGCAGCTTCGCCGCAAGCTCTTTCCTATCCACACTCAATTTCTGCACATCTGCCCTGACCTGAGACAGCTCTGCATTGAGTCCATCAATCGCACTCGCCTCCGCCTCAAATTTCAAAGATCTCTCGTAGAACTCCCTGACCTGAGCGTCCCTATCGGCCTTGACGGTGGTGGCTGCGCCGGAGAGGTGTCGGATCTCCTGCTGAGCGGCGACGAGCTCCTGCTTGAGCGCTACGTGTGTGGCGGCCAGGCGTTGGTTATCGAGGAATAGGTTTTGGATTTCACGGTGCTGGACCGCGATATGTTCTTCGATGACGGCAGGGTGAGCTTGAGGGGGAGGGGCTGGGGCGGCGACACGACGGAGGAGGCGAGGGTCGTCGATCAAGGTAGAATGGGAAGGTGCTCTTGCTAGGGGTAGTTGTCGAAGGTTTAAGGCATTTGGTGGGAGATGGTTTCGTCCGGCCATGTCCGGTCTCTCCTCCTCCTGAGTGCGCCTCTCTAGTTTTGCGATTAGCCCCTTCTGTTGGGTTTATGTTGCTATTTGTGTGTGTGGGACGGGCGTGGCTCCTCTGTTAGAGTAAAACAGCACACGGTGCTGTTAGTTCAAACGGCACCGTTTTATGTTTGTTTGCACACTAAAATTTATCTCCCAAGTGAACGACGCAGTTTGGTAGGAATTGTTTTAGAAAAATTTTTTTTCCCCAAAACAAATCCTCTGCATCTAGGGCTATTAGTCGAACAAGTCCGAATCGAGTTTGAACCGATTGTTAAAAGCTTGTTTTTTAATTGAGCTTTAAAAATTGTTTAAGTTTTGCTCGTTTAAGAAACGAGCCGAACTCGAGTTGAACCCAAGCCAAACTCGAATATTTACACATAAACGAGCCGAGCTTGTCAAGTTTGAGCCGAGCTTGTAGGACTTGTTTTTTAAACCAACCTAAAAAAATTTTCAAATTTGGACGCATTTACAAAACGAACTGAGTCTGAACTAGCCGTATCCGAGCCGAACTCAAACTAAGCTCGAACAGTTCAGTTTGATTAACAACACTATCTATATCTCTTGCACAAATCTCTCTTGGGACCCAACACTCACAATCTCTTTGCACAAATTGAAGACACAAGATTTTTCTCTCCTCCTGCAAGAAGCCTTTCTTTTCTGCACAACCAAGTTGCAAGTATTTGGAGTTCAAGCAAATACGCATACAAATAAAATGAACAAACCAGTAAAATCACATCTCCCATCGCCATGACAAAAATACAGGAGACCTTATTTCTGCAACTTGGGTTTGCATTAACCATTGCTTAAACTTTGATCACAATGCCGAACTCAACTCCGGCCAGTGATAGATTATCTGGCTGGTTCTTCACAAGTCTTTTTGTTGGTTCCAAACTTCCAATAAATATAATTATGATTTTTACTTAACATATTTGATTTGATATTTATGGTTGATTGAGTATATTGATATTATTTATCCATAATTGAATGAAAGATTTGTGTTTAAACAAACCCATCTGACGATTTTTCTAAAAATTGTCAAAAAAATGAGAACTTTATTGCTATTAAAGGAGCTCATGAACAATCACAACTCATTTTACAGAAAAATAATTTGATTGTGTGTGTACATAAGTGTGCATATATCTGTACGTATTGTTTATTCATGGGTAGAAAGATAGAAAATGCCCTACCAATTTCACCCCATAATGGTGAGAGGACAGGAAAGAAGTTTTGGGACAGTAACTGAAAGAGGTTTTGAGGTTGATTTTTTTATCTTTCACCAAAAATCAAGTAACTAATTAAGCAAGCAACTCAGAGCACAAGTTTTTCTGCCATTGTTTTCTCGTAGAACATATGTGAGAGAGAGAGAGATTCGTGAATAATTCTCAGTGAAAATTTTTAGGACACTAAAACACATCATTACGATGCCGTTTGAACTAACAAAGCCATGTGCTGTTTTACTCTAATAGCAGAGGAGCCACACCCGTGTGGGACTGTGCCTTGATTTAGTATTAGATTTGAACATAGGAAAAATAAGAAGGAGATAAGTGTGAGTTAGTGACGTTGTTGGAGAGAGTGGTAATTGAGTTACTTGTTTTGGGTCATGTCAATCCTGCCGTCAGACCATGAAACAATTATTTTTCATAAATATTTTAATTTTGAAGTTGATAACTTATACTTAATTGAACTAGAGAAGAAATTAGGAGATATGTGTATAAGTTGACCCAAATATTTTTTACCGTTGAACCGAAAAATATTATTAAGGGTTGTAAAAAGAAGATAATATTTTTGTGCGAATATTTTTTGTAAGAATGAATTTTATACTATTGGAGGAAATTAGATTAATATTGGATTAATTTTAGCAAGTTTTTTACGTTTATAAATGTTTAATTTAAATTGCCAGTTGTAATATTATATATTGATGGCGTGAATTCGCGTGGATGAGCAGAGGAAATGAATGGTACTTGATGATCTAAAACTGAGCTACAAGACTCGTGAGAATCGAGTTGAAATTACTGGGGGATTGCACAGTGAAATTATAGTGGTTCATCGGCTCGGGAACTCGGCTAATCCACTTTTCAATAAAAATTCTTATTCCTTTCGTTTCAGTAATGGGGGATGAAATTTACAATTGACCTCTCATACCACTAGGGTTATTATTTTTCTCTCTTTTACTAGAGGCATCATGTAGTATTATAGAACAGCTCCTAGTTCCGTGGGATTTGCACCGAGATCTTTGCCATTTATTTAGGAATCCTCCTTGATTTTTTGGAGAGGATCTTGGCCTCTTGGGGGTTTTGTGCCTTGAATACGATTCTTTGTCACCTATAGGGTTTCTGCTAATATCTAGTTGTTCTCTCTGCTAATATCCAGTTGTTCTCTCATCTTTTCCGCTATTGTCTCTCCTAGGGGGCTCTACCTCTGATCCTTTGAGCACGACGTGACTTGTCTGACCTCCTTGTCCAACCTCTTTGTTTGAGCTCATACTTAGAAGTTTTTTTGGGTATCATCATATATAATAAAGTAGAAAGATGTTTGAATTTTGGAGACAAAGAGAGATGCAGATTATTTTGAGATAAAACATAAACAAATCCAACGAATAACGTAATCCTAACATAAAAGACGATTTAAATTTTCTCAAAAATTTTGATCTAAATGATTACTGAATTTTATTTACCCGCTCACCTCTCTCTCTCTCACACCTCAATCTCTATACGTCTCTCAAAAGACTTATCACAATCTCTCACACTTGTACGTCTCTCACTTAGTCTTTTTTTTATCCCTATCTCTCTTCTCTATCCGGCAACGCCCTCTTTCTCCATTTTTCTTTCTCCCCCAATCTCCTATCTTTGTCAGCGACACCCTCATCTCTCCGCCAGCGTTGCCAATCGTGCAAGCCACCAGCCATTGAACACCAACAGCGACACCATCGAGCACCGCCGCCAATAACGTCATCGTTACATCTCTCCGTCTCTATGTGCACAACTTGATTTTCAGGGGACTTGGATGGGAGATCAAGCTCTAATTCATTAAACTGGCACAATTAGACTAAGTATCACGCCCCCAGAGTTGAATTGATGAAGCTTTAAGTTTGAATTGAGTATGTGATTGTGATTTTGAAATGGGAATTCCTCTTTCTAAATTTTTGTTTCTCTTGAATTTTTTACTGCTTGATAGAGGAGGAGGTGGTTTTGTTATGGGTTATAGCTAGCTAATTGGATTGGCTTACAGTGGATGTATAATGGAGGAGATTGGATTTTGGGTGGTAGAGGGTAATGGAGGTGATGGCATTCGATGGTGGGTTGGGGAGTTTCATGGGGCAAACGTCGGATGGAGGGTTGGGGTTGGGGTTGGGCCAGAAGTTCTGAGGGGAAAAAAAAGGGAATAGAGCTGTTTTTTTGTTTCAAATTTGTTTAGGGATGAAATTGATGAAATTAAAATTTTAAGGACTAAAGTTCGATAAGTGATGAACCTCGGGGTCCATTTTGTGCAATTTACCCAATTCATTTATGAAAATCAGGTGGCTAGTGTTTATTTCCTAGAACAACCCATTTTCAGAAGTTGTATCGCCAACTGTTTTCTATCTTCATTTTCATGGTGTGCGTGCTGGATCTTGCACAATATAAACATGAGAACAGATCTCTCCCTTGGTGAACTCGAGTGAGTCAATCCAGTGGTCAACCCCGCTGCTTGGAACAGCCTGTGAGATCTGGTGGTAACCAGGAACGATAATGGGAGACCCTCTTGGATCAATGGAACGATCCAGTAAGGCTGAGGAAGGTTCCTAAAACAAAGAAAGACAAGTTAGAAGGGCGCCGGAGTGTTTTTCGGCGTATCCCCTCCGACGATCAAGTCAGTTTTTTGAGAGAGAGGAAGAAGAAAATACTGAGTATAATTTGTAGCAAAGGTTTTTTGTTGCATACCGTCTTGCCTTTTGCGAGGAGTATTTATACCTCAAAAACTCATGATTGCTGTCAGTGTGGTCAGTAGGTGATCATTAGGCACAGGCAACGTGTGCACGGTTTCCTATGAAGAATGTCTTTTCTTTTAATTGCTCGGGATCCCGAGCAACCAAGGCTGTGTCATCGGCATGTCGACTGTTCAATGAGCTCCTCTCGGGGAGGATGTAATAAATGTCTAGCCTTAGAGACATTTATTGCCTTTCATTTTCGAGCCTTACCACATTAAATGCAGTCTCATCAAGGGAATGATGTAATTAAATGCTTGCTTTCCTAAGTCGTGTGTCAGCAAGGGCATTCGGTCTTTCTGTCTCTGATGTGACACAATATGCCACGCGTCCATTCCCCATAGGTTGTGTCCCCTGCCTTCTGACACCAATTGTGTAAGACGAGGTCATGATAGCTAACCTAGCCTAGTCTAGGCTAGTGACCTGTACATCAATAGTCTTTGCAGGAGCAGAGAACGCCATCCTGGACGGAGGTACATCTCGGTACCGAGGGGGATTGGTACATCTCGGAGCCGAGAGAGGAGGTACATATAGCGACCGATGTACCCATATCAGACCGAGGGATATGTGTTAGTACGTAAACGTACTGGATGCCACTTGATCCCTATGACAAGTACCTCGGGGGAGAGAGACTTGTGAACCGATGGGTACGTGATCTCAGTAACAAGGATTTAGTGACACCGATGACACGTGTCTTCATCTTGGAGTATTTTGAAAATGTCCCATCACATGGTTTGCTTATTCTCAACCCATTTCACTCACGGAGGAACCAATACCCTATTTACAGCAAACATTATCTGGTATGCATTTCTTTGGATTATATATGTAATCCACTAATGCATACTAGGTGATTGACAAAACGCCAAAGAGAAGAAACAATTTTACCCACTTATTTTTTTGTAAAGGATATATGTTCGTTCTCTTGGTCTTTATTGTTTTTTTTTCTTTTTAATTCCCAGTTTCCAAATTTCATGCATTTTGTTATTGCTTTGGTGTTGGGTACACTGTCATGGAAGAGTTATTCTCCACTCAAAATTTTCCCTTTTGATCAATATTTTCCAATCAAATGAAGTACCAGTTTTTATGTTTTAGTTAGAATTAGAATTTCAATTGACTCCTATGAACTCTTCAATCAATTTGGTCAATTGGGTTTTAATCATGCGATTGCAACTTCAGGCCCTCATGATGTTAAGGTCCGGATGAAAGCTGTGGGCATATGTGGAAGTGATGTTCATCATTTCAAGGTAAACTGCTCAAACTGTCATACTTCTGGAAATTAATTTGCTGATGCTTTTAATCTAAATTGATTTTGAAATAGATAGAGATGGATATGTTTCAATATAGTGGTTGATTAACTGATTATGTTGTGTTTTAAATAATGTGTATGTCTAGAATAAGAGATGTGCAAATTTTGAGATGGACAAATATTTATAATTTTTTAACAGGTTACATATGTATGTTGAGTTCATATTTGACTCAAGAATCATTAAATACCTCTCCTTTTGGAGAATGGTAATGGCCAAGACACACATCAACAGCACACATACCTCACTGCACCAGCCACCACCATTGCTCCTGCCCCATAAGCGTCGTCTCACTCCTAAACAGGTCAATAATGGTAGACTATTTACCCACTTTACAGGGTGCTTGATTCAATAACCCTGAGTCTACGTGTTTCATGAAAAACACTAAGCATTGATTTTAGTGAAGCCATAAAATCCATACAACAACCATACAACACTGACCATTGATTTTAGTGGAGCCATAAAGCTCTGGTAGATTTTATGTAGACAGCGTGTAAATTACACTTTTTTAAAAATTTCGTAGCATAAAAACGATTAATTTCCCAACCTTTCTCACAGACATTTGAAGAGAGAATATAGGGATTTGGCCCTTCTCTGAGGTAAGACTGTGTGCACGATGAAATAATGTCCAACTATTGTGGGCTTCTTGGGTAAATTGTTGAAACTTTGTAAGATACTCTAGACAAATGCATCTAAAGCACATCCAAATTCCAGTTCATTCTTGAATACTTCTCTTTGGTTTAATTTTCTTTTGATCATTTTAATTTTTTGTTTGCAAGCTCCTACGAAACGTTTTATTATTAACTATTTGATATAAACTTTGCATGTATTTCCTGAGTTTGTGGGTTATGAATTGGAGTTTATTGATTTAGATGATCAATGATAGTAGGCATTTTTGTGTTTCAGTTTGTGTGCATGTGTGTTGTGTGTGTCATGTTTTGGCTGGGATCGGCAAAAGCAAGGTATTTTTGCTCACTAGCTACCACATTACCACTAATGGACTGTTTTGACCCAACAAATTGCATGGATTCTTTCTTCATTGCCATTCCCCACCGTCTACCACCTGCACAGTGTATTGATGTAAAAACATTGGAGTTGTTTTTGGCCCTTTTACATGCTCAAGCCCTTATATCTTTGATTTAACAACCTGAAAGGTATGGTATTTTTCCATTGAATTAAAACAATGTTGCTGAGAACGAAAATTGATGAATTTATGTGTTCATTGCTAGCAGTTTGGTTTGATGTAATCTAATATGCATTACCAGCATATTAATATAATGTGGTTGGACGTTGTTTTGATGGATTTGATGGTGGTATTCCAAAGGAAATATGTAATGCTCAACATATGAAGAATTGATCAAAACCAAGTTTCTCTCTATTTTCAATGGTGGTGAAGATGTGGATAATGGGAATGATGGAGTTGGGTCATTTCTTTTTTTTTTTTGGGAAATTAAATAAGTGTTGGGTCAGCTCTTGATTGGAATTGTTGGGTAACTGTTATATTGGGGGAAATATAAGTTTTCATTTGCTATGGAATTTTTCTTTCTATTTTCAAACTCCGAAAAAACATTGAGTTGGTATGATAATTTAAATATCTTTGACCATGCACAGAAGTTCTTGCAATCAAATGAAGTTCAAATTTTTGACTGCACATAAACTAAGATTCTAGCTGACGAGTTCAAAGAAGTCGCATTTTGAGGGTGAGATTTCTTTACACGGTTTTTACTACACTGTCCAAGTTGCCCGCATTACGAGTTTTTCATTCCCAGGAGGAACATGATCATAAAGTCAAACCATTGTGCTTGCACTTAAAAGTGATTCATTGTAAAGCTTAGTATGGAAAGCCTTGGTTCCTTAGAATACTTTCTAGATGCTGCTTTCCTTGAACTATTTTTGTTGTTGTTTTACTCCAATTAGTTATGTTTTCGTGCTCATTAGCATTACTTGCACCAAACAGATTTTCTTCAATGTTTGTAATAGTGGTTTGCTGGTGGAAAAATAGGAATGAGAACTGAAGGGCCAGCTTGACCCTTGAGGCTTCAGAGTTGTTGCAGCAAAGAAATTGATTGAAAATCACTACAAAGCCTCTTATCGAAAAAAAAAATCACTACAAAGCCCAAAGATTCGATGACTTCATTGTAGTCTAGGTTTGTTTTATGATTATTGTAACTGTGTTTTGATTTATACCAAGTGGCCATAATACTTTTGTGCTAAATGATGTAAATTAAACCTCAAATGAGGCTAAAAGATTGCACACATACGTGCACACGCAGACAAACTTTATCTACAACATATACGTGCACACGTGGAACCATGGTTGGAACAGTTGATTTTATAGTTTCTTAGTGCTATTTAATTCTTGAGTGAGCAAGTGTATTTGTGGTTGTCAAATGCATGACTTGAATTGCATTTGATCTTGGAATTATGTTGTAGAGAATTGATTTAATTGGTCTTTCGATTTTTTTTCTTGGTTGTTGCCTTTGTTCTCTAAAATTGGACTTTCTTCTATTGTCGTACGGTTATTAGTGGGGTGGGTATAGAATGGGGTGAACACGAAAAATCTCAATTCTATAAAAAGTTATTGTCGTTCATTGATTTTTTTTACTAGTTGTATAGTGATTTCAGGCACGGACAATGTATAGTATATATATAAAATCCTTGCTATACCTACTCAAAAAATGCCTTACTATACACGCGGAAATCATAATTGTAGGATTTTAAAATTTATCGCACATATATTTTTTATAATACAATTATAAACATTGTGACATATATTGTTTGGCCGTCAACGATATGAAAAATTCAAATAACAGTTTTTCAAACTATAACTCAAAATTTTATTCAAATTTAAATTAAAAATTAAATAAAAAGTTTAATTTGATACAAAGAGTTTCAATGGATAAACTCAAATTTAAATGAGAATAAAGATGATCATTCAATTTTTCAAAGCAGGTAAAATTTTACCATTAAAAATTTGGGTAAGCATTTGAGTCTCCTTTGATTTGAATAAAAATCTGATTTTTTTTTAATTTGGTATAAATTGAGTTAAAGGTCGGAGGAAGTCCTTTGAACTTTTTTATTCAAATTTAAATTTAAGTTAAAGATTAGCATGTGTCATGAACGTGGATGGTGCACACAAATTAAGGTAGTCCCAAAAAGCTTAAAAATAACTTGAAACAGATACTATTAAAAGAATAATGTTAGATAAATTTAAAAAATAGATTTGATAATCACAATCATTGAATAGGTAGTGTGTCCTAATAAATGCTGGGACACACAATAAAATAAATGATTGTAATTATCAAGTATAATTTTTAAATCCATGTATGCTGTTGTTATTAAAAACACCGAAAGAAGTACAAAATGTGCTGATTTTATACCAAATTTATATAGAACAACAAATGCTCTGAGTTCAGCTACCACTTCATGCTTTGGTCCTCAAATGCTCTTTGGTATACATTTCTTACTGTTTGGTGCAAAGCCCATGAACCGAAGAGACTGTTCTGGCAACATCCTGGAAAAGTATTTTGCAGATCTTAGGAAAAAAACACACAAAAGAGAAAGGGAGAAAGGTATTGGGACCCATTTCTTCCTCCCAAACTGGTTTTTTTTTTTTTTTTCCTCTTGTAAAACGATGATAAAAGACAGCGGCCAAATATCATTTTGATAGGTTATTATTAGTGGGATCATGACCACACTACACTTTTTAAGAATAAATTTAGTTAGACTAGTATAACAGTCAATTATCAAGTCTCAATATAAATTTTAAGATTCAAATTTTTAACCTCAAAATAAAAAATTTTGATATCGCAGTGGACCACCCCACTAGACCACCCCACTGGCTTTTTAGGGATATCACAGATTCAACACAACGTAGGCCATACATGACCAATAGCAAGAGGATAAGATGACACATAAGAGCAAAAGGGGACATTTTTTTTTGGAAGAATAACCCATATCCCCAAACTCATTTCTCAGACATAGTGAACTTCATAGTATAGGAGGAACCAAAAGAGAGGTAGATAAGGATGTGGCTTAGTTCTTTGTTAAGAAGCCCAACGAAAGAAGAACAACTGGTGCCAGACACCACTGGTACTACTGAATTCCCCGAAAACAACGATGTTCGTTTGGAGAAGGAGACTGATATTATGGGTGAGTTCAAGGGGATTGTGGGCATTGAAGATGATGGAGAAAACTTTCATTGGAACTTCATGGATTGGAATGACTTTTCAATTGCTGAAGATCAGAAAGAAGAAGAAGGGGACAAGAAGGCTGAGAATTCGAGCATTCATTTTCAAGAAGAGACCCATTGTAACATAATTAAGAGAGAAAACCATGGCTTTTGGGATGATGATGAAAAGAGGCTGTCTTTGAATTTGAGTTTGAACTATCAAGAGGTCTTAGAGGCATGGTCTAACCGCGGCTCGTTCATGGCTGATGATTATTCTCTTATGACGGCACACCATGGCTATGTTAGTATTATTAAACCAACTCTATATCTATTTATATTTCTCGTCTTCTTTTCCTTTTAGCTCAATTGTTACTATTGTGAAAAATTTGAACTACGGACCTAATATAAGTCATGTGAAAAAAGGATTCAAACGATGAAAGGCACACACGCCCTTTAGTACCATGTGGTTGGTGCACTAGGCTGATCGAGACTCGACTTTTCGAATCTGGAACTTGCGCTCGGCCCGGTCTGTCAGCTCTTAGTGGTTATAGGTCCGGTCGTGCCTGGTATGATCCCAATTCAAACAAATGAATTTTCAGGATTGTTATGTTGTAACCCCTCTAGCTAAGATAATAATGTGTTTGTGTGTTGATAAGAAGCTGTAGGGAATAATGTTTGTTTCAGTTGGATTTACTTGTGATGTTAATTAGTTAATCTCTGTGTAGATGGGAGAGGTGCCTGTGATGGAAGAAGAGAGAACGAGAAGGGAAGCTAGTGTACTTAGGTACAAAGAGAAGCGTCAATCTAGATTGTTTTCTAAGAAGATAAGGTATCAAGTCCGCAAATTCAATGCAGATAGAAGACCTAGACTCAAGGTTATTTTCCTCTCTCTCTCTCTCTCTCTATACATCCATACATACACACACAAAATACATATTCTATACATAGATTTTGGTTTGATTCTGAGGGTGGTTGTTTTGTTGCAGGGTCGTTTTGTGAAGAGGGTTCCAGAGAAGGTATTCAAATGAGAAGTGGAGAAGTACGGGTGTTCAAATTTCTGTCAACTCGAACCATTCTGACTCGATTCAACTCGATTATTCGGATTCTGCAAATTTTCGGCCGGTTTATGGAACAAATTGCATTATTTTACAAATGATTGGATAGAAATGCGAAATACCCATAAAAATTCTGCATTCCTATCCGACCCGCACATATATTTACATTTTCTAAAAAAAATATTTATTATACAACAACGTCATTTTATTAGTCATATTTGTATGGTTGTTTTAGATTTTTAGAGAACATATTATTGAATTTATTGTGTTTTCTCTAATGTTGTTGGTTTATATATTATTATATTACTAGTTATTGTTTATGTCCGAGGATACAAAATAATAAAAAAAATGATCAATAATAAATATATTTTTACTCACATCTAAAATTAAATCACAAATATAGAGGAGAAAGAAAAAAATTTAAGCACCAATTATAGTAGGAGTGAGCGATGGTAATTGTGGTAGATGGTAGTGGAGGTGGTGGGGTGACGACAGTGGCGATGTTAGTGGTGGTGGTAGTTGGTGATTGTCGTGAGGGGTGGTGATAAGACAATAGAGATAGGGGTGGTATGGGTGATAGTTAGACAGTGACGATAGTGATAGAGGGTGGTGGAACGGAGGTGACGATTGTGGTGGTGATGGGGGTAGTGGGGATGGTGGTGAGGGGCTGGTAAGGGTGGTGGAAATAGTAATGACGGCAATGATAATAGTAAGGGGCAGTAGTGATAGTGGCGGTTGTTGTGGCAAAGGTAGTGGTGGGGTGACAACGACGGTGGTAGGACAGTGGCGATTATTGTATGGTGGTGGTGGGGTGGCAATGGTGGCGATAGTAAGGGATGGTACGATAAAGACAACGATAGTGGTCATAAAGGGCAAGGTTGTGGTGGTACTGGTGATGGTGGTGGGTAGGGTGGTGGTGACATTGGTGGTGGTGGTGGGGGGGATGGCAACAATGGAGGTGATAGTGGTAGTGGTGACTATAGTGGATGGTAGTTTGGTGGTGGGGTGGGGTAGTGGTGGTGGTGGTGGTGGTGGTGGTAGTGGTGGGTCGATGAGAGTGATGGTAGAGTGATTCCAAACACTACTTTTTTAAAAAAAACATTTATGAAAAATTATAAATATTAAAACAAAAGTCACCCAAAATACATCTTTAGACGCCTATTTTTTCTATTAAATTTAAAGTGTTAATATTAGTCATCAGATTAATTTTAAATTAAAATTAAAAGAGATGTTAACCATGAATAAAAAAAATTATTTTATTTATCTTTTAAAATTTGAATTATTTTGTACTTTATTATATAGATATTTTAATCGCCTAATTGTAAAATTAGCCCAAAAATTACTTAATTGAGAGTTGCTAAAATAATTCAAAAATTAATAATTTTAAAATTACAAATATGTAATATATTCTAATCTTATCCGAATTTTGACCTAATTTTTTTTTAACGAAATTTGATCGAAACATTACCTTTGATCGAGTAAAATTGGCTAAAGAATTAACTTTCCGTAATACAGTGATTCTAAAGATGAAATATAATATTATCTACCTGTCGACCGGGTGAACACGCTACCAAGAAGTGAAATATCTGAAAATATCTTACTCTTTCTTAACTGTCTCAGGCATAAACTTTTGTTTTTGTCACTCAAATAGAAAATATCTTTTCTTTCAAACCATTAATAAAACAGCAGTGAGACTCTCCTTATGATACTTTGTTGTATACTGGGCCTAAGAACCATCACGTTCGGTTGCCCCTATACCCTCTCCCTCTCCCTCTCCCTCTCCCTCTCGTACCGTCACCAGCTCGACTGCCCCTTCAGTAGACCATATGATATATGGTCCACATCCTTGAGCTCTCATGATCTAATAGTCATTTTCTAGTGAATTCCTGACCATCGTGAGGTCTATAGGCTCTATGGTGGTCCCATTGTCCATCTCTATACTTTTGCCTTTTCTTTTCTGTGTTGTGTCATTTGCTGTAACCATAAAATATCTGCTTAATGAGAAATTTGTGAGGGTATAATACACGCACACACCAAGACATACATGTGCGTGTATTTTTACACTAGATATTTTTTTTGTTAATAATATTTTTTATCCTAGAAATATACATTTTTTGTCAGTTTAATTCTTATTGTATTAATTTGGTCCTTAAAATAATCAATTCGTGTCACTTTAGTCTCTCCATAGATAGACCGTTAAGTTTTTGACGAAATGATCACGTATTGAACGCATGATGATATCATTTAAAAAATTGACACGCAGACACTTATATAAAAAAACTTGACAATCCGTCTATATAGGAACCAAAGTGACACAAATTGAATATTTAATAATCAAATTAATAAAATTAATATAACGAGGACTAAATTGAAAAAAAAAATACATACTTTAGGAGTTAAAAGTACTATTAACTCTTCTTTTTTTTTTTTAAACAATTTAGTTAGATATTTGAAAAAAAAAAAAAAGAATTGCTCATTGGTGGAACTTATTTATTTTATTTTATTTTTTTTTGGGGGGGGGGAAGTAATTAGTGGAACGTTATTATAAGATCTCCATAAGGACCAAGTGAACTGATACTTTTTTTGTGCCTTATAACTATAAGATTGCGTAGCTGCAATCAACCATGAAGCCCATCTTCCTCGACGAAAATGTGAAATACCTATTTAGTTTCTATAGATTTCATCATTTACAGTCGCAAATTCGTACACTTTGAAAGAAATTTGTACAGTGTTTGGGATTCAAGACTTGGTGAAGTTTTCAGCTATTCGGATTACACCTAGATAGGTTAAGTCTTAGATGGTGTTGCACCCACTTTGCCTAAAGTTTGTCATGCTCCTAAGATTGTGATAAGTTGTGAAAATAACATGCCACACCATAAGATATTGTATCCATCAAAATGGTGTCAAAAGAAAAGACGTAATTCACATTCTCATGGCCTTTTGGCTCTTTTTTTTTTTTTTTCTTGTTTTGGCCAAGTCCTTTTGCCTCTTTTCAAAACACAGCAAGTTCAAAAAATGGAACGTTCTACTAAAAAATGTGATAAACTTTACCCAAAAAAAGATAATTTAATTCAAAAAAGTAATAAATCAACTCAAAAATTTAATGCACCACAAAAGTTAATAAACTTCACGGCAAAAGAGATATAAATATCCAAAAAAAATAATGTAATACGATTTTTTTTTTCTAATATCATTATTAAACCCTTTTATAATAGTGTTTGCTATGTCTTTGTTGATTATTATTATTTTTTTTTTTTTTGCTCCATTGACTCTTCGACGACACTATAGGAGAGCAAAAATATAGTCCCTTGGCATAAGGGTATGAGTACGGTACCAAAAATATTTTTTAATATTGTGCTGCTTAATTTGTTTAGGTTGAAGTTATTATTTTTTGAAAATTTTGTATCATTTTTTGGGTGAATCTTACTAATTTTGTTGAGTGAAATTTATAACTTTCTAGAATGTTATTATTGGTATTGATATTGAACGTAAGTTTTGATTTAACTAGTTTATGAGTTGAAGGACCATTTCATATACTCTGGTTTATCCTTGGTTTTACTCCCATTAACGAGCTTGAGCGAAGTGTGCCTCTACTCGTCGATGATATGCTAGAAATTTCTCTCATAACCCAAGAGAAAGAATCAATCTATTTAAAATAAAAATAATTTAGGGTTAATTATACCTATGATCCTCAATCTATTAATTATATCATATTAATCTCTAATATTTTCAAATTGAGTTTAAATAGTCTCCACGCCTAATGGCGTCATTGTTTCTTATAGCGGAGGGTTTAGTATTTTATCCTACATGCATTCAAATGAAACTTATTACATACAAGTAGACCCATAACTCATTTATAATGTATGATCTAGTGAGAAAAAAATTGAAAAAAAAATATCCGATAAAACCTAGATCCAATTGACACAACCTTTTCTGACCCAAAAAATAAAAATTTACACACCCTTCTACTTGGAATTATATTTCATTGAGAATGAGAATGCCAAATTTTCCAAAAATCCTAAATTATCATGTTAATTAGCCTGAGTGGTAATTTCTATTAGGTATTAGAGCTCAGCCCCCATAGTTCATCAAGAGAAAATGAAGGCAAAGGGACGAAAGGTATCGGATAAATCATAAGAACATGACTAAAAAATAAATTTTTGATATTACATCAAAATTTATTATATTCATAGGTATTTTTATTTTTATTATTATAAATATTTTTATCATTATTATGGTATCTAAAAAAATTATAAAAATAAAATCATTAGAATAAGAATAAAAACACGTATAACAGTGATAAAAAAACTCACAAAAGTGATAAATCACCTACAAAACTAATAAAAAATTTTATACCAAAAAAAGTGATAAATCAATCACAAAAATAATAAAATTTTTAATTATAAAATTACCTATAAAAATATTATTTAAAATAATAAATTTCGACTGTTTGGTACCGGTTTTTTTTTTTACTGTATAATAGTCAAATCCAAATCATAAATGTGACAAGACAAAGGCTACGGTCCCATTCACGACACAAAACTCTAAGGACACTCAACACCGCAGCACCTTTGTTTTTAGTAAATATTTGGAGAAGTCATACAGATATTTTTATCAATATTTTCAGAAATATCCTCCTATTTCTAAAATAATATCAACACCACTTCTTGCTTGAATTTGTGTTTCATATGTTATGACAAATTAAGCAAACTCACTGAATCGGTGGACATTATCCACCTTATCTTTGAATATCAATTTTATCTTTCGCAAAAATTGGAAATAAATTTAAAAAAAATTAACTAATCACATCCACTAAAACCAATTGTCAATTACTGCCACTAACACGGCAATTACCATAGTCCCTAACATAAAATTAAATTATGATAAAAAAAGAAAAGGAACTTTGTTAACATAATCATGTTCAACTATTCATCACAATTGACACACAAAACACGCACTCTCTCTCTCTCTCTGGACGTATAAGGATAGAGTGAGTTTATTATTTGAGATTTGATATTAAAAATAATTGTCAATGCAATTATTAATGTGATTATTCTAACTATAATGAGTATCATACATGTGATGTGTTCAGGAGAATTTTTATAATGAATTGAGATAGTGATCCATTTTGGTAATCCTTCGGATGATCCTTCAAATAGTAAGTAAAGTTAAAAAAGAGATAAGATGAATATCTCATTTATCCTCTATGAATCTTTAGTCAATCGATGTATAA